TTAGAGCGTATTGTTATATCCATGAGAGCCTATCATGCGTCCCATTTTAATAATCTGAATTGTCAATATGTAGAAATTGTCAAGTACTATATGCCTGTAAAATATCACATTGATCGAATATCAATAGCTATGTGATATAATTAGATTTTTGTAAACTGTTTATTTTTTACCGTCCATTTTTTTCATACAAAACTGATTTGACCACATAACTATCGATATCTGATCAACATAATTTTTTGTAGGTATATAGTATTCTGTGATTTTTACACATTAAATGGTTTGAATTATCAAAACGGGACCCATGGTGAGTTTTTATGGATCTAACAATACTCTCTAGTTCGTGATTGGATTGAGAGAAGTCCTTTCCAAAAAAAAACCCTTCAAATTTTCAAAACAAATCAAGAACAACTAGTTAAAAGTTGATTTTTTAATATGGTGTGAAAAATAAGTTAAAAGTTAATTTTTAATTTTTTTAAAAAAAATATGTAAAAAAATAAAAAGGTAATATTATTTAAAAAGTTAAAAAGTTTAAAAAACTGTTTTTAATCTCTTTGTCAAGAGAAGCATAAGTTGTCATTTCACAAAAAATATTTTAGTTGATTTTTTTGAGTTAGGGATTTTTTTAGCTTGAAGTCTTGTTTGAGAACAAATTATTTTAGTAATTTTTTTGACTTTTTACGAATAGATGTACAGAAAAATAGAAAAAATGATGTGACAACTTATAGTGACTTTTTGATTAAAACATGTAGTTGCCAAACGAGGCCTAATGCCTATTTTGCCAATTGGGTTTTTTTACATGTTTTTTTTTAAAAAAAACTCAAAAAATTAGTTTTTAACCTACTTCTCAAAATAGACCTAAAAAGTTCGTTTGGGTTAGTTTTTTTGAAAGAAAATGAAATGATTATAATTTAAATATGATATTTTATCTTATTAACTTATTTTACTTATTTTGTCTTTTATATTTTTTTAATCCCAACCCACTAAGCTAAATGTTGAATTTTATACGTGTAGAAAGATAGTAAAAGTTTAATGGGGTTTTTTTTTTAAGGTCTCTGATATTAAGATTGTATAGCATAAGGGACATTCAATATTTTTATAATGTCTAAGGTCCCTCAATATTGATCTAGAGAAATTTCAATCCAAAGAAATTCTTCCCGGAGAAATTCTCTCCAAAGAAATTCTGGATTTCCCAAAGAATTTCTCTGGGTGCAACCCAGAGAAAATTCAAATTTCTCTGGGTCATTTTGACCAATTTTCTCTCGGTTCAAATTCAAATTCAAATTTCTCTGGATTCGTTTTAACCAATTTTCTCTGGATCGTAAAGACACAACATTATTTTATGAAATCATTTGATCCAATTTTCTCTGGGTTCAAATTCTAATTCTAATTTCTCTGAGTTTATTTATAAATCAGAGAATATTCAAATTTCTTTGGATTTATTTTAACAAATTTTCTCTGGATTGTAAAGATACTATTATTTTATGAAATCCAGAGAAATTCCCAAATATTTGTGAATAGAGTCAGAGAAAATTTCTTTGAGTTGACAAATTTCTCTGGCTCTATTCACAAGAATTTTTCTGACTTTGTGTAATATGTAAGCCAACAATACAACTTTTACTAACAAATTCACAAATTTCTCTGCACCAAAACCAGAGAAATTCTTTCCAAACCAAACAAATCATTGAAATTCTCTGGATTGAAAGCAGAGAAATCCAGAGAATTTCTCTCTTTTTGCAGCAGAGTTGTGTCTAACTTGGATTTTTCCATCCGAAACGTTGAAAAATGAATTCAGCTTTCATGTTATAAAGACTGTCGGGGAATCATTTTTTTCTTCTATACTCTTCTGCTTGCTACTTTAGAAGATTCATGCCCCTATTTTCAAAACCATAACCTACCATAGTGGACTTCAAAGAGATTTTATACGCAAAATCTTCAGCTAGTTTGTAATCGATCGAGTCTAAGGGAAAAGTGATTTTACATTTGTTGTCACGACCCAAACCCGGTACCCAAAGGCTTAGCGTCGTAACAAGATAAAAATACAATAATTCGGATAATTCTGTAGTCACAGCGCAAGCGGATAAATTAAATAAATTAAAATAAATAACTGGGTACCAACTGTTTATTTAAAAGGAAATAAAACATAGTCATTTGAGTTTCGCTGTATTACAAGAGTTTAATAATAAAAGATAGAAATCTTAAAAAAAAAACAAAATAACATAGCGATTCATTTTCCATCTTGATCCCGCTAAACCTCGTCACCTGAAAGGGATAACAGCTATAAGCACATAGCAGAGTGAGAAATATTATTCTATGAGGGGCACAAAATGACCATGGATATTTATTTAAGCTAAAACATTATAAATTGAGTTGAGTTGAATACACAAATTATTTAAGTGCCAGAAATTGAAATAATCACTATAATCACGGTACATCACTAAGTGACAATCACTACACTGGTCAATGGATCCATGACAAACACTGGACCACAAAGTGGTCAAACACTAGCTAATGGTTATTTAAGTCCCCCAAGACATGGGACTCCCATGGTGGTACTCACAAAACATATTTTCATATAAGGTCATAGCCAAATATTCTTTAAAGGTAAAACAAACATATCCATGGGCTTCACTTTTAAGCAAATAGGGTTCAGAAATAAAACCACGTAATTGAAACTTTTATAAAACATAACTTTTATTAATATATTAATAAAACATAAATCATATAAAATAGATTTTGGTAAGTCAAAACATAAGTAAAATACTTTTTGGTAACTCAAGGTAGAATATAACTCACCTTAAATTACTTCCTTTATTCTTCCTTTCCACTCACGCTTCTCACCCGAGCCGTTCTCTTTCCTACTCTCTATTTATTTTTTCCGTTGCCTTAACATACCAACCTTCTCTATTGATAGGAAAGACACTATTGGATAACACGCTACGGAGTCCGTAAATTGACGCGTGTAGTCTCCGGTCCACTCTTATCTTGTTATTTATGAACTTGTTTGATTTTATCTTTTTATTTCTTTAACCGTTGACTCATTTTGACCACTTTACCACTTTAAATATTATTATCTTCTTTGGTAATCCACAATGATTCTTAAAAATTACGTATAATAATAAGTTAGGTTCACGTCTAAAAACCTCATTACCCAACTATAAATTACCACTTACCACTTATTAAAATATTTAATGTGTAGTATTTCACAGCGTATTTCTTTAACTATTAAATTCCCAATCTCCTAAATTATGCCTTGATTTATTATTATCATTGTCACTACATGTATATATATATATACTTATTATTATTATTATTATTATTATTATTATTATTATTATTATTATTATTATTTTTTAATTTCTGAGTTCTATTTATTGAAATTTTAAGTGTAAAACGTTCGGGTGTCACATTTGTGGCCAACCAAACACGAGCATTTTGTTATTAGATTATAAACAAATATTACCCAATGCATTTGGATATAGGTTAACCACAATCCATCTGTGTATCTCTAATTATATATCTCATCAATGATAAATATGAAGGTGCTACATTTGAACTGAATCAGAAACTACTTTGTTTAGTCTTTACAGAAGCCTTACTTGGATCTAAATATAGCTAAATCTGAACCTAACTTTTCAAACTGATGAGAGGAGGTCAACTTGGTATTAATTCATATATGAATTGGGTTAGTTTGCCAGGTGGATTCATACCTGCATTTCTTATGAGTTGAGAATGGATATGGAAATCCCAGTATCTCATTATGTGTTAGAAGAACAATTTTGCATTTTAAAAAAGCTTTAACGTTATTTCTTACCTTTGCTTGATAGTTGATACTTGGTGTCCTTTGCAGACCAACACAAAAAGCTTATAACATCTTGCTTGATGCGTTTGCAATCTTAGAAATGGTGGATCAAGCTCGAACTGTCTTTAAGAGCATGCGAAGAGACAGGTAACCTTTCCTTTTTTCTGAATATGATATCATACCCTGGGCTTTTCCTTGAACATGTTCTAAACTAAGGATAGAAGTATCACTCTCAGAAGGTAAAATTTCCTTCTTCCTGAACCCTTTGTCTCTCACTCCTCTCTCTTGTAATATGTTTTTCATTGTTCAGAAGTATAAAGAGCAAGTCAGTAGGAGAGAGACAAATCTAGGAATGGAGAGAGAGAAAGATCTAGGGTTTTGAACTGATAGTGGAGATCGGCGAGAGAGAGAGAGAAGAGCAGCGGGATAGAGATATCAAATTTCTCTGTGAGGGACCTTAGACATCAAACAATAATATTATGGATCTATTTCATTATCAAAACTAGGAGAGAGACCTTAAACTAATTTTTTCAAGTGCAACACTCACTATGATATCAACAATATTAAAAATTATTGAGAAAAATATTTTTATAATCTATAAGCATTTTGAATGTAGCACACATTCCATCAATTTTAAAATAAAGGATTTGGTCAAAATCTCTTCATGATAAAACTTTCATAATAAACACACCAAAAAAAATTTAAAAAAAATTCAACACATATTACTATTACCAAAATATTAAACTTTAAAATAATATAACTTTTGATCTAAGTGTCGTTTTTTAATAAAATTATTATTTTTAGAATCCTCTCATCAAGATCTATCAAATAAGATTTGTGTTAACTAGAAATTCTTTTTTAAAAAAATTTAATATCGTTGAAATTGATGTAAACAATAACATGTTAAATTGTTTGACAACACCATGTTACTCTGGTTCACAATAACATGCTACTCTAGCAATATTACAAAAAAAAAAAAATATATATATATATTTTATTTTGTTCTTATTCAATTATGATTCTCTTCTTTAAAGAATTTATGAAACAAAATAAATTAGTCTGTCTTTTTCATTAAACAAAAATTCAATAAAAAAAATTTAGCTAAATTTCCCTTTAAGAATTTCTACATCGTCACCTTCAGAATAATTTTCGAGAACAAATTCATAACAAGTGTAATATTATTGTTCTACAACAAAGAATATCATTGTTCACAAAAACAAGCCTTTTATTTTTATTTTATTTTTTTGACTTATTCGACAAAAGGAGAAAGCCAAGTTAAACCAATTCAACTTACAACTTCAAACAAACAAATGAAGAAGAACTGGTTAAATTTGCTGAATTTAGATTCATTCAAACATTGCTCTTAATGCTAGAACTATACCCACTCTGATCATCCCAATACTTACTCCAAAGCATCACACCCGCATACTTCTCCGATTTCTTTATCTCCGGCAGAATCTGACCAGTCAGCACCGCCGCCGGAATAAACCCACTTCCTGCAGCCTGCTGCGCCGCCGGCAACCCCAAGAAAAATCTCCGCGCATTCACCGACGAAGTCCAACGCTTCCAAGAATTTATCAAATTATCTTTATTCCCAGAACTGTACTGACATGAAGGATTATTATAAAACTGTATCCAAACATAGTCGAAAAGCCCGGTATTAAGCGCAGCCCCTAAAAAGCTATCGGGAAATGGACATTGTGGCGCGCCAGTTAAGTAAACTTTAGAGCCGAACTTATTGTAAGCCGATAAATACCGAGCTAGATCATCCCAGTATTTAGTCGAGCCGAGCTCAATGTCGAAATCGATACCGTCCAAAACGGCATCGCCGAGAGGGCGAGAGGAGGACCGTCCGCCTAAGAAGTTGTTCCAGAGATAGATCGCAACGTTTTGGGCGTCGGCTTTGGAGGAGAGAGAGTAGCTTCCGTCGCCGCCGCCGATGGAGAGCATGACTTTGATGTTGTTTTTTTGACAGTAGCGAATTCCGGCGGAGACGCCGGCGCAACCGTTGGCCGCCGGGTTGCAGTGGCCAGCGAGGTTGATTTCGGGGGTTTGGCCGTTGCCGAACTTGTTGAGGAAGGCGATGTTTACGTAGGAGAATTTACCGGTGGCGCAGGTTTCGGTTAGGGTTCCTTCGTTGCCGTTTTGGCCCCAGTAGATGGCGATGCCACCTTGGTCTGCAGCGGCGATGGCGGCGGAGAGGAGGAGGAGGAGGAGGGGGAGGAGAGGAGTGGTGGAATGAGGTTGTTTTGGAGACATGTTTGGGGAGTGAGTGAATGAGGAATGGGAGAGAGTGGTGGTGTTGAGGTGGTATTTATAGTGGTGGGGAGGGAGGGAAAGGGATGTGCGTGATTTTTGGAAATTTTTGACCAAAAGATGGTGGTGGGTGGGTTTACAAGGAGAATGGTGGCTTCGTTTGCAACTTGGCGTTTGAGAATCAGCCATGTATTATGAAATTTTTTTTATGAAAATATTCATGAAAATTTTGTGATCTTTGAATTATAGTTAGAATAAAATATCAAATATTAACTAAGCTAATTTAAAAATTATAAATTTTTCATGATTATTTTTATGAATTTTTTTTTATAATTCCTAACTTTTCTCTTTGAGGATTCCTAGGTTTTATAAGGTTTGAAAATTTCATACAAACAAATATATATTTATAAACTCATTTTGTTAATAAATAATTTTTTTTTTATTTTTTTTATTTTTAATGTGGGTCTATATGAACAATAAATTTAAAATATAAAATGATAATTTTGAATAATTAATGGATAGTTAAATTTGGGTTCGCAGTATTACTGATAAATAAATAAATAATTAAGCCTTTTGAAATAATATTTCTTGAGTTAATTGGTGAAAAATTCATCCCTATAGAATCATATGTCATATAATTCAAGATTTTAATTTTTTTTCTGATAAGTACATGTGTTGAAAACTCATTGAAAATGTCATCAAAAAATTGACTTGAAAAGTCACCCGTGTCTAGTGGCAATAGTGGGTGACAGTGAGTTGAATAAATTGATGACTCATGCTTATTTGAATAAATAGTTAGATATTTGAATAAATAATTCAAATATATATGACATTTGAATAAATAGACAAAGAGTTAATCTTTTGAACAGATAATGTGCCTGTTTAGCAGAGCTTAATTACAGCTTATTTCAGCTTTCAACTTAATTTAAACTATTTTGATGTGTTTAGTTTAGCTTATAACTTATAACTTATAGCTTTTTGAAAGTCAGAAATCAGCTTATTCTTTGAGTGGGGCAGGAGATGCTTTAAGAATAAGCTGAAAATCAGCTTAAGCTGAAAGTTATAAGTTATAAACTATTGAGGCATAAACTATAAGTACTTTCCCACAGCTCTACCAAACAGGGCCAATATGTCATTTTAATCTAAAAAGATTTAAGTTTGAACTTATTGGGCCAACAATTTTAGAAATGGACCCCCAGTTTGGTCTGAGTGCCCATATTTTTTGCCTTAAAAAAAATTAATTTTAGTTAGTGAAAAAAGTCAAAAAAAATGGAGAAATATATTAAGCTTTCGTTTGGGATGTGGGTTGATTTTTTAACTTTTTGACTATTTTAGTTTGGGGCTAAAAAGTCTCGTTTGTGATGGATTTTTTTGGCTTTTTTGACTTTTATGAGAAAAAAAGAGAAAGAAATGATTATGGTTTGAATGTAACATTTTGTCTTATTAACTTTTAACTTATTTTATCTTTGTGACTAAAATAGCCCCAATTCAACACAAACCTTCATGCCAAACGAATCCTTAGATTAACTTTTTTCCAACATTAAGAGTAGTACTATTCCAACTCAAAAAGTTAAACCAACTTTCAAACTTAACAGTCTCTTTCATATATACCATTTCAAAAGGGGTGTGTTATATCCGCTTCTAGTTATGTTATTTTTTTCTTTAGTTATGACTAATTTTGTTCTTTAATTATGATAGTATTTTAGTTATGACTCATGAATTCTTTAGTTATATCCCATGTTATGTTTAGTTATGATATTTTTTATTTTTTTAGTTATGACTTAAAAATTTGAAATTATGCCATTTTTCTGTTTAGTTATATAAGGTGCATGTGGTGCATGCCCTTTGAAGAGTGTGCACCATAGTGCTTCTCCTCTTAGAATATCTAAAACTACTCTCTTTATCTCTCACATATTTTTTTAAAGGTTAAATTCATTTTACTCTATCGTGGTTTGTGGTTGGAACACTTGACCCCCTTATAATTCAAATATAGTTAGAAAGTCACCATATAGTTTTAGACTAAAGTGTCAGCATTTGGTTTTGTAGGAACAATCTTCTGTGTAAATAAAATAAATTGAAACTAAATCAAACAAAATAAAATAAATAACTTATATAAGTTATTTTATCGAACCGAATGAAAAATAAAAAACTAAGTCGAGTGTATGACACTCTGTCTTTAAGACAGATTAGCCCCGCTACGGTGCTTACGGATAAGTGGCGTTTACCTCATAGGATACAATGATCTTCACAAATTTGTAGTAGCTTCACAAATTTGTAGTAGCACTTCAAACAAATTTGTCCGGCGAACTAGAATCTTGTGTTCTATTACTCTCTGAATTTTTCTGTAAATAACTAATATGAAGAATAATGCAAACAAAGCAAGAAATGGACTGCAAAAGATGATATTCTAGATGTTTTTTGGATGCACAAAGCTGCTGGAACATGGCTGTATTTATAGGCAAAAAATCTGACCCGAATACGTGCTAATTTGAAGTGAACATGTGGGATTTTGAATTGAATAGGTGCTGTTTGAAAATCAAACAAATCTGGCAGTTACAACAGATAACTGCAGAGCAGTTAGATCTGTTCAGGCCAGTTTGAATCTGTTCGGGTGTAATAGATTTTAAGACATGTTTGGATTGTTTAACCTGTTCGAACTGGTAAAGAATCTATTCAGTTCAACTGGGCAGTTTCTGGCAGTTAAATAACTGTAAAACCAGTTTGAAACTGTATGGAATTTAGACTAGAATTTGAATTCAAATTTAATTTGAAATACAAATAATTTCTTACAAGAATTTTTTTTTTTTTTTGAAAAAATTCAAATAAATTTTGTTCAAAAAATTAAAGTTAGACCCGACCCACACCTGGCTCGGCGGCGGTGGTTTGGGCTAAGGTTCACTTTGTGCATAACTCTTCCCTTCTACAAACTTGGGGTGCCTTTTGGGGTCCAACCCAGGTGTTGTAATCTAGAGCTCATATACTCACAAAAGCTCTCTTCAAGTTTCAATGTGGGACAGCCCATATAAGGAAACCCATATTTAATTCTTGAATTTGGTCAATTCCATGAACCCAAAAACGACGTCAAGTTCTCATTCACTCATAAATGGTTTTGACGAACCGTCTTCATCATGTGACTTGCCATATGGCAAGGAACACGTCACCTGTCACGACCCGCTCCTCGTATCCAAAGGTTAAGCATCGTGATGGCCAGTAACTGAGGTTACCTCCGACCAATTCTTAAACAAATCAATAAACGAAAGCGGAAGTAATATTTAAGTAAGAGTACCAAAATAATCACCTGAGCTTCTATTTTTATTACAAAATTATATTGACCAAAAGGCCGATATTTACATATAAAAATATCAATAAAAGTACTGTGTGTGTGTCTATTCCGCAGCCCCGCGTCTTAAGACCTTTCAAAAGCTATTTCTGAACTGCATGTGTTCCTGAAAATTGGTAAACAACTATAAGCACATGGCAGAGTGAGAAATATTATACCAAGAGTATAAGGGACACGAAATAACCATAGATAATTAATTAGGCCAAAACATTTACATAACTCATTTTGGTGAATAAATCATTTAAGTGGTAGAAACTGAAATATAGAAATTATATAAATAAATAACCATAACCACGGTACAGAATAAAACCGAACAAAGGTCACAGAAGTGACAATTAGAACAGATGTACGGATTCAAGAGGTGATTCGTACGGATTCTAGAGGTGGCTCCCACAATAGTGTAGCATTTAGCTCCGCACAGTACTTTGCTCCGCACAAAACAGAGGTCAATAGATCAGAGGGCCACAAAGTAACCAAACAGAGGCTAATGGCTATTTAAGTCCCCCAAGGCGTGGGACTCCTGTGGTGGTACTTACAAAACATAATTGTATTGAAGGTCATAGTCAAATATTCTTTAAAAGTAAAACAAACATATCCATGAGTTTCCTTTTAAGCAAATAGGGTTCAAAAATAAAACCACGTAACTGAAATATTTATATAATTTATAATTGTTTATAAAACATAACTTGTATAAAATAAATATGATAAGTCAAAACATATATAAAATACATTTTGCTGACTCAAGGTATAATATAACTCACCTTAACTTTACTACCTTACTCTTTTTTTCCACTACCAAAAATCCTTTCAACTTCCATTATTTTTTCTTCATTTCTTTCCATTCTTTTACTCTTCTTTCTTTCTCTCATTTATTTCTTTCTTTCTTTTTCCTTTGGGCAAATTACAAACATCCCCTCGAAGTTAGGTAAAAATACAGATTCCCTTCTAAAGTTTGAAAAATTACAAATTGCCCCCTGTGAATCAAATTTTCATAACAAATTAGGGAAAATTAGAGGGAAATTTGTATGAAAATAAAAATCTCAAGGGACAATTTGTTATGGAAATATAAACCTCAGAGGATAGGATGTAATTTCTCAAACTTCAGAGAAAATTTGTATTTTCACCAAACCTCGAGGGGTGTTTGTAATTTTCCCTTTTCCTTTCCTTTCTTTTCCTTTTCTTTCTTTTTCTCTCGCCCAGGTGATCCCGCTTCACCTTAAATAGGGAGGAGAAACCAGTCTCTCGCCAACACGTGGCCAGGCCCAAATCATTTCGCAGATTGTTCATTAATTTATAGATTTATACTTATCTTTTTAATAAATATTTAGAATAATTATATTTTGACCCAATATTTTAATATAATTATATAAATTAATTAATTCTTAATTAAATTACATTTTATCGTATACCAACATAAAATTAATCATTTATTTTACTATCACATTATTATTATTATTATTATTATTATTATTATTATTACCAATATTATTATTATTATTATTATTTATACTTTGACCCCTAAACTTTTAATAATTATATTGTTTTACAAAATTACACATAATAATATATAATAAATTATATATTTTCCGAACTGAGATTAAATAATATTAGTATAAATTCTACAGAATAATTAGAAATCTGGGTCGTCACAGAAAGTCTTCTTGCGATTTTTGACTAAAATGTCACTGTTAAGTTTT